GCTAACGGAACCCACGGAATTCCATTCTGAGGCCGTCTTCACCCTGTTTCAACTACGTTCCAAATTCTAAAGCTTAAAGTCTCATTTAGGGACTAAGTATCCTAAAACACTCCGAAACTCGAAACCAAACATCCCGGCAAATCAAAATAGCAAACACGAACACGGGGAAAATAGTTAATAAGGGATCGGGCCGTTAATTCTTAAAATGACCCGCCGGGTCGTTACAAATAAGCCCAAGAGGCATACCCAAAGGCTACGGACAAGTTAATACGACTCGGAGACGTCCGAACCCCGCAATCAAAATAGGCCTTCAAATTCTTTGAAAAACCGGTTAAAAAAGGCTACCCTCGGCAAATAATAAAAAAGGCTTCGATAAAATCAGCCCTCGAAAAACCTTAAGAGGTATCAAATTACCTTAACGCAAACGTGCTAAGGCAAAAAAAGCAAAGGGGTTAATCGGCATCGGACCCTCAAAAAACCCAATAGGTAAAAAATACATGCTAAGGCATAAAGAAATTTTTACTAAGTCTTTTAAGCCGAAAAAGGGGAAATAATAGCCATCTTTTAGAGGCCATAACGGCCCGATCTAAAAAGAGCCTAAGGGACAATACACTTAGGGTTCGAGATCTTGTTCTCACTCAATCCGAACCCAAGGGTTCATTTATCCCAAGCCCAAATAAATAATAACTTGATTATGGCTCGGGGACTCACCGTTATGCGGCACAAACCCTTAAGGGTCTATGCCTCGAAGTTCAAACCTTATTTGAACTCGACCATGGTAACTTCAAGGAAGCCACCCGAGACAAAGTATCAAATACACCGTTCAAAGCATGAAACTATGCTAAGATTTTGCAAGGCAAAAAACATGCTTATAAAACTTGAGAAGGCATTCAAGAAAAATTTTCTTTTATATATGTGTACAAGAGACCGGCAGGGGTCTTACAAAAGGAAAAAGAAAAAAATCCTAACTATGCTCGGGGCTGGTTTCTCCCTCGGAAGTGGCTTCTCCTATGGGCCTCTCATGTCAGACCCGCCTTGGTTGCCTTCATCATCATCATCGTCGGAGGAGGAGACGAGAAATCTGGCATCAGCTTCGTGCACTTTTGCTTGAGCTATCTCTGCAGAGAGGTCGTAACCTCGAGCGTGGATTTCCTCGAAGGTCTCCCTCCGGGATTGACACTTGGCAAAATCATTGCTCCGTCGCTCTCAGTCGGTGGCTTCCCTTAGCTGCATTTGAGCAACCTCAGCATCGGCCAAGTATACAATAATGGTTTTGTCAGTCGGGACCTTGGTCTTCCCGACCTTTGCCTTGGCCTCAGCAAGCTTGATCTCGAGGTCGTCTGTCTTTCTTACCTAGGCCGAATTTTTCTCTTTAGCTCCTGAAGTTGGGCCTCGGTCGATGCGAGTTTATCCAAAGCAACCTCTTTCTCTGCAGCTAGGTGGTCCATGTTCTCTTTCAACCAATCGCATTCGGCCTTGATCTGATCGACCTCCCTACGAAGCAGCTCGATCCTCTCCAGTTTTTGCTGTAGCTGAGACACTAAAGTATTAGCCTCCACAGTTAGGTCGAGTAGACCGTACTCTTTCAAAATGACAGTTACTTGCTTGTCTAGTTCGGCCTCATCCTTATGAGCCTTGGCCAAGTCTACCCGAAGGTCCCTGAGCTCCTCCTCCTTTTGACTGCAAAGGAGCTTCAAAGCGTTCCTTTCATCCGATGTCTTCTGGAGCTCGGCCTCATATTGTCTCAAGTCGGCCCTAAACTTGGTAAAAGCCTACACAGAAATAAGGATACAAGTTAGGGTAAGAGCGAAGAAGATAAAGAAAATTGCAACGTTAGGAATTAATGCTTACTCGAGAGAAAAGATGTTGAGCCTCTTCGAAGAGGGTAGATATGTCGTTGAGATCGGCAGCGTCATCGACTCCTGCAAAGCGATCCCGGAAGGATCCTCTTCGCTGGGGACTCCACCCAAGTCAGGCATCTGCAGAGCCCGAGCCTCCCTTATGGCCTCTTCAAAATAAGCCGGTAGAGAGGGAGAGTGACCTATTGTCATGGCCCCGAGCGAATCACTCGGGGCGTTCTGTTCAGTGCGGGGGATCTCAGAACCCGCCCCTCCGGTGTGCTTGTTGATGGTCGAGGAACAATCTCGACCTCGGGCAATTCGGGGGTTTTGTCCGCATCTTTCTTCGAAGCCTCCTCATCACGAGGCAGGGTCTTCGGCTCGGAGGGTTTGGCAGCTTCAACCGGTTTCCTGGTTCGAACCACCAGCGCCGAGTCTTCACCCTCGTCTTCTTCTTTTTCAACCAGCTGGTGGACCGAATCTATATCCACAGGAATGAAATTTCTCCTGTGTCTTCGAGCTGGAGCCTTTTTATCTTGGGGGTCTTCGGGCTTCGAGACCCTTTTCCTCTTATTATCTTTCCCCGATTTTGGAATCGGGGACTCGATCTCTTCCCCAGGCGGGGTCGGCCTCGTTTCAGAGAAATCTCCAATGCCTACATTGAGGAAAATCAAATATGAGTAAAAAGACATCTCTGATAAAGAGGAATGCATCAAAGGCTTACGAGATGAACTCACCATGATGTTTGGCTTCCCATTTGCCCCTCGCCAAGTCATGCCAGCGGCGCTCGTTATATGAGGAGGTCCCGGCTAGTTTTCAGACCCAGTCTTCGAGGTTGGTGACCTCATGAGGCATCCAAGCGGCCGCTGTGAGATAGATGAAGGCATCACATATTGCAAAACGGAGTACGAAGGTTAATGGGTAAAAACTTCACTTACATTTTGGGTTCCACTTCTCTGGGAACAGCATTTTCTCCTCTGGGATGATGTCGCAGGTCCTCACTCGCACGAACCCGATCATCCAATCTCGATCTTTATCCTCGTCGTTGCTGGAAAAAAAGTCCTTGGTCGACCGGTGTTGTAGCTTGATCAACCCTCGAAAAAGCTAAGGTCGATATAATCGAATGAGATGGTAGAGGGTGAACTCCAGCCCCTCGGCCTTGCTGGAATAGAAATGGAGCATGATCACTATGTGCCAGAAAGAAGGGTGGATCTGGCCAAGGGTGACCTGGTACCTCATGCAAAAATCGAGGATAACTGGATCAATGGGACCCAGTGTGAAAGGGTAGACACTTAGGAACCCCTCCACGTAAGTGGTGATACTCTCCTCGGGAGCGGGGATCTATACCACGACCTCGTCCCCCCAGCCACAATCTCTCTTCATGGCCTCGAGGTGTTTTTCCGTTATCGAGCAGATATATATCTATACGTGCTCACATCGAGCAGGGATCGATAGGGGATTCTCGACTTTGATGTTGTTCTTTGTAACACATGGGCCAGGAACAATCTCATGAAGAGCCGACGCTTTATCATCGGTCGACCGGGAAGAAGAGCAGGAAGCTTTCTCCTTTTAAGGAACGGTTTTAGAGGTCTTCACCATTGATTTAGGTTGGAAGAAGCGCAAAGAGGTGGAGTTTGATACTTCTTGGTGCTAAAAGGGGATGGATTAACAGCTAGAGATAAAGAAAAGATGAAGAGAGGAAGAGAACAAGAAGAGTTTGAGGGTGGAAGTAAAGCTTTTGATTCAAATAAAAGCCTTGTATTTATAGACACACGGTGACGGTTCGGCGGCGCTAGTGGCCGACCCCCACTGGCAAGCATTTAATGTTTTGGGGAAACGAACGACGGGACGTTTTGGTCACCTCGAGCGCCTACGTCACGGGCATGACATCATCATCGGGGCCTCCGGGAAATCGAGGTTCAAATCTTTTCTTATCATTTTATTCTAAGAAACGAGGGGACTATCTGTATACTGTGGAAATCGGGGCTACCCGATTTCGTTCTTCGATGGAAAAGATGATACCGCGTCGAGAGGCCAAGACGCCAAGCTCGGGGTTGAGTTTCCTTTCCAATGCAGCGGTCGAGGTCGAAATCATTTGCCAAGGTCGGAAGAAGACATACCTCGAGATAATACCGTTATGGTTCAGTAACAGAAAGAGCTAGATACCCGGAACGACCCAAAGATCACGGTGTAAACTGCAGAATGGATTGACCCTTGGCGGTTAGACAGATGTCGATTATGATTTCTTACTGTAATTAGAAGTGTACCTTATTTAGGACTCTCCTATTATATAATGGAGAGCCCATTCATTTGTAAGACACGTTTTGACTGACAAGATAATACATACACTTTATTCTCTAGCTATTTTATTCATTGTTCATCAGAGTTACTTTGTAACTAGTTATTCCTACTATTCCACCTCGAGGCCGTCATAGCTCGAGGTCGAGATTTGGCTTGCGCACTGATTTGACTTATTTTATTGTTCAATTTATATATTTAATTCCTTGTTTATCAATTGGTATTGGATTAAATCACATATCCTTAAAACCATAATATAAGTTTAATTATTACTCAAATTTTAGGGTAAACACAACTCAATATTTAGGCCAAATATCAAGTAGACACAAGGCTGCGCAAGTTGCACCAAGTTAATAATGATCAATGAGCATGATTACAATAGACAATAGTTTTCTCTAGAAAGTGAAACAGAAAAATCTAGGTATCAGTTTGTCTTATTTTGGTACGACGGCTAGGCTTTTGAGCTGCCTTTGTAGTCTTTGGCAGAAAGAAGCAGCACTTAATAATTTGACAAGTGTAAGGTCCAAAATTCTGTATATGCAACATTTCACATCATATTTCAGTTCAACGGAACCGGAACCCGAACCATCCAAATCAATGATCTTCTCAGTCCTCCCACCTCGTGTAACTTGTGTACGAGGTGCATTCCTAGAAGAAAAAAAACTACTTAGCTAGTTGGGAATGATAGATTCAAATTCCTGCCACTTACATCGATTAGATCTATAAAAGATCCTCGTCGTGAATTCTAACAACTCAAATCACAACTTTATGTTCCATACACTGTCCTGCCCATGTACCATGGAGGAAATCATCACAATGAATACCAACGAATAAAATGATACCAAAATGACCTAGAAAGAGTAATAGATCAAAGGAAAGACCAAAACCAATGAAATTAATTGACTAGAATACATGATCTGTGAGAGAAGGATCTGATTGAAGAAATGAGAATTTACATAGAAGCACATAATTACAAATGTTATATCAGATAAGGTAACCACACAACCAATGAAAGTAGAAGAGAACTCATAGCGCAATGCCGGCATGAAACGGCATGGAGTGATGCTGCAGATGGTTTGCCAGCAATGGCAGGTGCAACTGCATGTCCACCAGGGCTTCTTTGTTGCTCATTTGTTGGCAATGGATTTGAGGCTAAACCACTCGGAGGTGGTGTTGGTGGTACCTTTGCACTCCCCCCTATGTCTTGACCTGAGATTCAAAAGATGGATTTATGAAGAAGAGATGGCGCAGGGATTGGGGGAGAGAGAACCTACTTCAATTGAGTTATTGCATGATACAAATACTTCTCAGAAGTGACTTTTATTTTTATTTTTTATTCTCCTTTCAAGACCATTCTAGACCAAGAGGCAACTAATAACCATTATTATGCTAATTACAGCTACTTCACTATGATTTTTATGATTATTGTGGTTAATATGCCAACCAATAACTCAGTAGACCAGGAAATAGAAGGTATATATTTAGTGAAAATCTAATAGGTGCCAAACTTCACAAACTTCATAAATTTACTCAATGAGAAAAAACAAGTGCCATCTTCAGGATAATATACATAAACTATACTATGTGTTCAATCTTAAAGCCTAAACAGAATCATCAAGGAAATCCAATCAAATCTAATTATCTCGCATATATCCCAAAACTCCTTTTTCATCTACGCTCTTTTTTTTTTCTTTTGATAAGGCTCTTTCATCTACCTTCTTTTTTTTTGGTGGGGGGTTTTTGGGGAGTTTGGGGGGGGGGGGGGGGGGGTCAGGTAAACTCTTCCATCCTTTCCCTTTCAATACAGCAAAAAAAACCAAAACTACTTTGAAAAATTAGTCTAAATATGCAAAATGAGCTTACACTTGGAGTGAGACCAACCCAACTTCATGTTTTCCCAATCAAACACCATTCGATATCCCTCCATAAGGTTTTCTGCACACCATAACTCAAATGTAAATGCATAATCCATCCAAACATTCAACATGCATGAATGTGCACCTTAAAACGAGTTTAAAATCATATAATCCACTTACGTCCAATGATACCAATCATTCCCTCAATAGGTAGGATACCTACACAATAAAAGTTATCGCCCTGCACAAAATACCTTCTATGAGAAACCATCACTATCAAAACTACAGAACAAAGTACACATGAGAGGGCACAATGAACTTGCAAGTCCAGTTTCCGAGGAAATCGGTGACACAATGGGAAACCTATTGAGAAATTACACTTGTTTTATCGTAAAGGAATTGGAAATATCTTGTTTAAGCACGCAAAGGCAGCAGGGTAACATGTATGTTCACAGCAGAAAACTAAAACTAATGCAAACTAAGTACAGGGGCATTTAGCCATCATTTCATCTTTGCACGTAGAGAGCATTCGCTCCTGAACATAGAAGTTTTCAGAACAACATACAACTGCAATAACTAGTGAATGGCAACTATTTACAGAACCAAAATGACCTTATAGCCAGTAGCCACTATGACAACACTAATAGAAATCTTTAAAACTTATTTCAAAAGGAGATATGATGAGGACTAACATGCAGAATGGCTACAGAAAAACTTCTTAAATTTTGGGCTGTCATGGTTCCTATCTGTTCACCACACTAACCACTCATAACGAAACCGTGGATCCTTTCTTGCGGTGACGCGTTCTCCTTAAGTTATATGCTTCAAGCATCTCTACCAAAAGTTACTTGGTGAAGAGCCGGATTCAATTCTACAATGGCTTAGATCTTATTAGATATTTTCACATGCTAAATTAACATTAACAGTATCTGGTATCAAACAACTATTTTAACACTCTAAATTAACCTGTGCCAGTTTGACACCAACCACAAAAGGAAAGAAATACTCAAAATTAACAGATAAGGGTAAAAAAGTAGTTTAATAGTATGTTGTTCTGGTAAATCCAGATGAAGACCTAATTTTGTTTCTGTCTTTCGAGTGCACCAACTTTTTCCTCATAAACTCAGAGAGTATGCATGCATAAGCATCACATGTTAGAAACTCATTTAAGTAAAATCTTAGAGCCACGTCTTCCACCCCTCAAAGAGAGAGAGAAAGAGAGAGAGAGAGAGAGAGAAGAAGAAGAAGAAGAAGAAGAAGAAGAAGAAGAAGATCGATAGGCCGATGGCAAAGCAAAGAAAATCCAATACTGACCTGATCACTGGAGATGGTAAACACGGGGTTCTGAATTACAAAGCTCTGGTTAGCAGCTAACACAAGTTTCATGCTAGGAATGTTTGGTAAACCTCGTGAACTGCATAAAAAGAGCAGGATATAACCCACAAGTAGATAAAACTGAAACCAGCATCTCCCGGAAAGCAGACTTTACCTAGCCTTATAGCAGTAAGGAAAATCTTCTGTAGCTAACCTCGTAGCATTTATTTGCTCTTCAAACTAGAAGAAAAGAAACAGGAAATAACTCAGGTACAACAAAAAACTGATTGCGTGTTTTAAAACTAAGCAGAATAGTAACTTGTGAAACCAAGAGGAAACATGGAACAAGGGAAAGAGAAAAATGACCCTTGTACCTCAGTTACTACTTTTGTAAAGATTTCAGAAGGGAGATAAGTGAAGGAAGACCCACTATCAACTAAGGCTTGAAATCCGCTTTGCTTTAGACAGGTACCCCCAAAACAATAACGTTGGACTTCAACAATATAGGTATTGCTGGTACAAATTACAATTAGGAACATAAGATAACTGTGCAAAAGAAGTTGTTTGGCTATCAAGCTAAACATAGCACAAAAGGATAGAGGAGATACATACTAATTCCCATCCAAAGATACAAATGAACTTAGTCTTTGATTTTCAGGCCCTTGATCACCAAAGAAAATTGTGCCAGAATTAGTCTTGTCAAAACACAATGAGAATGAATGTGGAACAAATCCAGACTTCGCCAGCAAACTTGGAACAGAAATTTCTCCTGGCCCTAATCCCATCACCCCATCTGGAGCAGCTCCATTCAAATAACTGCCACTTTGTTTGCTACCACACCTGCAATTAGATAATAGGAAAAAGAAAAGCATATTCATCAACCAACTGGTAAATACTGTAACTTGACAGCTAGCAGCTTGACCACTAATCAAATAGCCAAAATTAAACAGTTAGCTCAGAAAGTTTCAAGGTTCAAGGGCCAAATCTTCTCTGTGGAGAATCCCTTGCTACACTTTGCTAAGGCACCTACAAACTCACTCGTAAGGAACTCATAAAATACGTCTTTCAACGTCACAAATCTATTAAGCTGGTGTTACTTGCAAGAATACAGAACTGGGAAAATAAAAATTAAATAAGCATACCCAATAACGATAGGAGCTACCACAGAACCTCGATGTTCATGACCACCAACTGAAGTCAAATGCAATTCGTCCTCAAAAAGAAAACCTGAACTTGATGTATTTTCAGAATAATAGTTAACAGTGTAAGGGCATCGTTCCTTTGGACTCTGGCAGTTAGGACCCAGTTCACATAATCGATGGCTGCAAGATAGATGCTTGCTAGTGTTTGATCGTGCTGGGCTATACTCGTTCAGATCTTTATCCTGCACAATAGATGCCCCAAATACAAGGGAGCACCTGCCAATCAATCATTGGAGAATTAACTGCTAACACGGTTCCCAAGAGAGATACACTGTCACTTCTAAATGCTTCGTTGATAAGACGTTAATTAATTCAACTGTACTAGGAAATCAAGACAAAGTTCATAAGGAAAAAGACATGACAGAAGACGAAATATTCAAGAAGAAATATTCATTTCACAAAGAAGAAAAAGGGAGAAGCCACAAAAGGTTATTTAAACTTTGAACCTTTCACCCCAGGAAAAAAAGTGCAATGAAATGATAATAAAAAATTGCATATGTTACTTCAACAAAATGTTGAATTTTTCTTTTTTTCTATAAAGAGAAGATACCCAAGATTTTTATTTTTTTTCTATAAGAAGATACCCAAGTAAAAGTGAAAATGACACTTCTACTTATTCAGCACGAGATGAACCAGCCAAAGAAGTACATGCCCGGATCGGTATAAGATTGTGAAATACAGGAAATAAATTACTACACCTTGAATCCTCCTTATCTTAAAGTAAAACTGTTTTACTTAAACAGAAAAAGGTTAACAGTGGAACAATAGAAGCTGTGAAATACAACAAAATCCAAAATTATTAAATCTTTACTGGTTGGCATATCTTTAAAAGAAAACATATTTCTTTCAGAATGAAAAAGTTGAGGTTTCAAAGATAATATATCAGGGTATAGCAGTAACTTAGAAGTTACTGCAACAGCTAGGACCTTGAGGTTGCACAAAGCATCAAGTGCATGAGTAATTTTAACTTGGACAGAAAAATTACAGGGCGTCAAATAATGTTGTAAGACGGTTATATGTTTATAAATCTTTCTTTAGAGTAACTACATCAAATTAAATTGAGGACGTTATAATATTTAGTGGTCCCACTATAAGTGAAGATGACTTTCGTGGAATTGCATTGATAGTAGTTTCAGAACTACAGTTTATATTTTGAAATAAAAGAAAGGTCAAATATTACCAGTAAGGATAAACAGTCAAACGCAGAATTTAGTTAGGGCACCCTACCAACATTGAGTAGTAGCTTGAAGACAATGGAGCACATTGTACACAATCACAAGGGACCCAGAGCAGATCGCTTCCAGCATCCAAAGCGACAAGAAATGATGCATTTGGCGTCCCTATGTCAATCCACGCATAATGCAGCCTGAATGATAGTAATCCAGAACAATCAAGAGACTTAATTAGATCACTACAAAAAGTTTCATGCTATATACAGTACTTCCACTTTTCTTCTTGTTTCCCTTTTTCCTTTTGCCTGATATTATTATGTATATTTGAATTGTCAAGGTTTTTGGGTTTTTGGTTGAGCATATATGCTAATATTTGTAAATAACTTAGCGATTTATTTTCCACGTAGCTTTTTCTTATTCCATCATATAGTGGCTGTGAATTTTTTAGACTCCTGAGATAAGAGCCAACAACAACAATGAAAGGAAAGGAAATCTCTTAAGATTTCTAAGGCCGAATGACTATAAGGCTTGACACTTGTGAAAAAGACTGAGGCTTGAAGAAAAAACAGATGACCAATTTGTGTCATTTCAATACTACAACCACAGGCAATCAAGAAGAGTATTCATTCAAGGTGGCAGCAACACCGGGATATAAAACCCTCCAAAAGGACCACAACTAATTGCTCAGTTGGAAAAAACATTCCATGGTTTGCGTTCAGCTATGAGGTCACTTTGATCCGATATCGTGAATTGCATTCGAATTGTGCTCTTAAGCACTAAAATGACTCCTCGAGACTATATAAGTAACTCTTATAAAGCAAAAGGTTAAAACAGAAATTAATCAGAACTTTAAACTCTTCACAGATTAAGAGTAAAATCTCCAAGTTAACCTGCTAAAAAGTAAACACCAAAACAAAAAACAAAAAACTGAACTTGATTTCAGTATACGTACAATTCATAACGCGAAACAGTTGACTCCATAGATGCAACAGGAAATATCCACACAAAAAAAACACTCAAAATCCGTTACAACATTGCGCATTTTAAGCTTCGTTATTTTAAAAGTGCATTTTAAGCTTCAATTTTAACAAATCTCGTAAACTGATAGTATTAAACAGAGATACTTTCTGAATAGTATATATTTTCAGTAGTAGTAGTACTAACCAACTCAAGTCGTTGCCGTAGAAATGAGTTTTGCTTCCTTCAGAAGGAAACAAAAGTTGTTTCTGCGAGCCAAGCTTTAATTTCTGGCGCTTCAAATCATTGCTAAGAAGCAACCTCATGTGCTCCACACTTTCGCGCTTCGGACACGTCACGCTCTTCCCTTTAGATGCCCAAAACGACATCGCTTCGTCAGAGTAGCCGTGAATCAACCTCGACGAGAAGGTTCCGCCGGCGGAGAGCTCAACGGAGAGCATCAACGCCGCCGTCAGTACAAAAGCCGTGAAACGAATCTCCATTTGAAGGAAATTGGAAGAAGCAAAACCCTAGAGATTGTAGTAATAAGTGATAAAGTAGAGTAAAGAGAATCCGAGGCTTTTTCTTTCTATTTTCTAAGGCATAGACAGTTGGAAACTGAGAGCCATAGCTGAGGCCTGAGAGTTAACTGGGACTATTGGAGTGTTCACTGTTCATTATTCATTGAGGAAAAAACTTATATCGCTACTCCAGATTTTACTTTTCTTTGTTTATTCTTTTCTTTTCTGACAAGCTCCCATCTTTAATATATCAGTGTTTAAACAGCTTCTGTTACGGTTCTCACTACTTTTTAATTAATTCTCCCTTTTGCTAGTTTGACTCGTTACGAGTTTAAGACACAAAAAAAAAATTTTATAAAAGTTTCTTGTTAAGGACTCGAGTTTAAGACACAAAAAAAGAACTTTATAAAAGTTTCTTATTAAGGGTACAATAGTTAAATGAAGAGTTTAAACTATAATTATTTTCAAATTTCGAAATGTATCATTTATTTTAAAATAGCTAAAAAGAAAAGTAGCTCATCTAAATAAAACGGAGGAACTAATTTACTTATGAAATTGTCCAATTTTCTGTAGAGTAATGAATTAGACTAGAGGGTATATGGATTGGCTTTTAAGCTGGTCAAATCAGTTTTTAAGTTTTTTTCTTTTTTTTAGTTTTTTTAGTGTTTGACAAAGTTAAATAGTGCTTAAAATAAGTTAAAAACTTGTTTAAAACAAGTCAAAAATAATAAGGTGGGCAACCCCAACTTTTTGCTTTTTGGCTTAAAAGTTATTTCAGCTGAAAAGTCATTTTTTTAAGCAAATCCAAACGGGTTTGAATCAAAAAGTTATTTACGAATATTTGAATAATTTTGTTGATCGAGAAAATATATTTAAAATAAGTTAATTATAATGGCACAAAGAAATGAGATACTTATAAGTTCGTTGATAGAAAAGGTATGACGTTTTTTTTTTTTGTTTTAAAAGACTACATTCTATTAATTAACAATGAAATATAGGAAGCATTTGCGAAGACGCATTTATGCAAAAAGTTGGAACATCACTACTATTGTTGTTAGTAGGTAGACGATGAGCGTCATGTTGAGCGGTTGCTCCATTACAAAAAAAAAAGTATTTGTGTGTTGTTACTACCAGAAGCTACATCAAAAGAGTTACAAAAAGTTACTTGTGATCCTGTTGTTGTAGGATTTGTTGGAGGAATATGCCTAAGTCTGCGGCATCCCCGTTTGTCTTTAAGAAGATCTTCTAGTAGAAAATTTGGTGGAGTTGGCAAAAAGGTGATATTGATGCCCATCAGTTCCATTCCAAAATATGCTAGTTTGTCAGCTACTGTGTTCAGCTCTCTGTAAGTGTGGACTAGGCCGTTTACTCAGTGTTTGGATCAGGGATGCAATCATTAAGCAAGTGTGAGTACATTATGGATGTACTATTAAGCATGGTAATTACCTCTTTCGCGTCCGTGTGAATTTGCAATGATGTGAGGTTGTGAGCTGCTGCTAGTTGTAATTCTCGAAGCAATGCCATGAGTTCTATATTAGTGACGTTTGTTGTGGGATAGTTTCCCGCATATCCCATCACCCAATCCCCATTGTATCTCTGAACATCCCCCCCCCCCCAAAATCCCCCCCCCCACCCCTCCCCCCAAATCCAGCATTAGTAGTTGACGCTTTGACTGCCCCGTTCGTGTTTAATTTGAAATAACCCATTGGCGGAGGTTCCCACTTAATATACACTGGTAACGATTATTTTTTGTGTGTGGAGCTATTGGTTAGGTAAAAAAATTCGGTTGCAAGTTGATTTATAGAATTACTGTCGGGTGTACATTTGAAATTTTTGAAGATGTTTTTATTTCTAATGTTCCACAATGCCATAAACTGAAGGGGAGTAGTATTTGATGAGGTATGGATCCGTGAGTGGTGAAACTATGTGATTGAATATGTTTTCTAAGCCATACATAGTTAGAAAGTGTTACATGATTAATATTTTGTATGAAACTCATTAATTTCATAGCATGCCAACAGTGTCTTGCGTTAATGCAATTGAATAGAATGTGACTAATTGTTTCTTTGTGTATTTAACAGAGCGTACATAGGTTGGAAGAGAGGATTCCAAGTTTATGTAAATAGGAGTTAGTTGGAAGACGATTATGGCTTATTAACCAAAGAAATAATTTAATTTTTGGTGGTAAGTGTAGACGCCAGATCCATCTGTTAACGTTTGGAAGGTGATTGGAGTACGTGAGTGCTTTGTAGCATGAATTAACTGTGAATTGGCCCATTGGCATAAGGCCCAAAATTATGCTATTTGAACGAAGGGAATTGAATGGCATATAAGCACTAGTGATTTTATCCCTAATGGCTGGTGGTAGCTCAAAAGAGATGGCTGAGGATTGACCGTTGGTAGTAGAGAGTGCCTTTTTGATTTTTAATTGGTCCTCATTATCTTGTAGAGGTCCCTCAATTAGTGTGTGAATATTCAGGTTTGGGACTAGTCAATTATCAGTCCAAAATTTTATGTGAGTGCATTGCGTGACATGCCAAACTAGCCTTTTTGACATGCCTATCATCTAGTAGTAATGTCCTTCCATAGTGTTGAAGTTCTTGCCAATTGGCTTTTATTAGTAGTTATATATTTAGATAGAAGAATTGAAGCCCGAAGGGTTTGAGGATTATAGAATAATCTCCATGTTGTAATTGCAAGTAAGGCATTATTTTATTCCTTAAGTTTTTGGATTCCTAGCCCACCTTGTTCTTTTGGGTTAGTTATGTAGTCCCATTTTACTAAATGGAATCTTTTTTTTAGTTGTTATACCCCCAAAGAAATTTCTTTTGAAAGGATTCTAACCGAGTGATTATATTATTGGGGAAAGCTATGAATTGCATTATATAATTGGGGACGGAATTAAGAGTTGCTTTTATAAGAGTGGTACGCCCCGCTAGTGAAAGATGGTTTGTTTTCCATTCTGCTAATCTGTTTTTGAAATTATCGATAATAAATTTAAAATCCTGCTTTGTGGGTTTGGCATTAAAGATTGGGAATCATAGATATTTTCAAAAGATTTACCTTCCACCATGTTAAAGGAAGTGAGGACAAATATTTTATTGGCAGGTTTTTGTATACGGTGAAATCGAAGGCTCCAATTCCTCGTCATCGAGACACCTCAGAAAATCATCTCGAAGCCTCGAGGGTACAAGGTTATGGTCGAGTTTCCTCCCTCGAGGTTCGTCAACGCTCGACCTTAGGACAATGTTGACCGCGGCTACGGTAGAAATGGGGAGTTCCCAAGGCACGCGGCTAGGGCTGACACAGTCTAGCGGGCTACTCTGAACCCGAATTAGGATGTCATCTAGTTGTCCCATCTCCATATCTTTGTAATTAATGCACTTTATACTACGTTGGGATTCCCCTCCTATATAAAGGGGGTCCTTGCCATAGTATAGGGATCTGTTGCTTCAGTTGCTCCACACGAAATATACAAGAACATTCTCTCTGCTCTCTTACGTATTCTCTTGATATTATTGCTTCCATTTATTATCTTCATTGTTGTTCATCATTTATTGCTTATCATTCGCCATAAAGAGCCTCCTTTGATTTTATCATAACTGTTAGTCATACTTCGATCACCTTCGATAGCTCACAGTCGAGCCCCGGAATCGACCTCGAGGCCCCCCGAATCGACAAGCTCGAGGCCCCGATTGTTAACCTATCGGTTTGATTATCACCTTACAATTAACTCTTATTTCGTTTCTAAGTCTCACATACATAGTATCAACTGCTAAACAACTGGCATAAAAATAGATCACGTATTTTTAGAGTCCCATAATCAAATTTAATTATTATTACCATTTTCACGGTAAACAGTTTGGCGCCCACCGTGGGGCTAAAAATAATAGTGATTATTTTCTTGCCGGTTCCATTACACAACGCAAGTTATCTTTCACGTTTTTTCTTGTCCAAAGATCTTTGATTTCAGGTCGGAATGTCTGATTCAGTAAACAATAACCTTGAGAACCACAGAGAGAATGGTGTGGTTGTTCCAGGTGTTGGTGAGCCACCACGAAACCTTGAGAACGCACCAGGACCAATTCCGGTGGACGAAGTCTCGCGCGACGCTCAACATGTCGAAATAAGCTCCCACACTAATAGGAGCATACACCAAGGCGACCAACAAGAAGCCCAGAAAACCCCAGCCCGGGAAGAATGGGAGGTTAGCCTTCATGCTATTTTTGAAATGTTGCAGGCACAACAGCTGGCTATTGCTCAGCTGCAAAGCCACCAGAAAACTCCTAGCACAGTAGCATCGGGGATAGCTCCCCCGGCCGAACAGGAACCGGAGAGATCGAGCAATAACTGGTCGATGGCTGATCCCGTCATCGTAAAGATGCTCGAGGACCTCACCAGAAGGATCGAATCGGGCGAGAAAATGATAGAAGCCAACGATAAGAAGGTCAAAACTTACAACTCTAGGGTCGACCAAATTCCAGAAGTGCCCCTGATCTTGAAGGGTGTGGACTCAAAGATGTTCGTACAGAAGCCGTTCCCACAGGAAGCGGCCCCGAAACCCATTCCAAAGAAGTTCAGATGCCCGACCTCCCAAAGTATAAGGGAACGTCGGACCCCAACGAGCACGTCACCGCCTACACTTGTGCAGTAAAGGGCAACGACCTAAGGGACGACGAGATCGAGTCCGTCCTGCTGAAAAAGTTCGGGGAAACGCTCTCTAAAGGGGCAATGATGTGGTATCACAACCTGGCCCTAAACTTGATAGATTCATTTGCAATGTTAGCAGATTCTTTCATTAAGGCACATGCTGGTGCCATCAAACAAGCAACAAGGAAATCCGACGTCTTCAAGATTAAACAGAGAGATAATGAGATGCTGCGAGAGTTCGTATCTCGCTTCCAGATGGAACGAATGGAACTACCACCAGTCTCCAACGACTGGGCGGCACAGGCTTTCACGCAAGGCCTGAACGAACAAAGCTCGGTGGTTTCGAAATAGTTGAAGCAGAACCTAGTAGAGTACCCGGCCGTGACTTGGTCGGATGTTCATAACCAATACCAATCGAAAAACAGGGTCGAGGAAGACCAGCTGGGGGCCCCCTCGGGCTCAGTATACCCAAGAAGGCTTCTGGCAAAGGAGCCAGAATCAAACAAAGAAAGATATCAGCCATACATCGAAGACCGGAGAAACGCCCCAAGGCG